TTGAGGATTCTCTCTCCCTCTCCCTCTGTCCCTCTGCCCTTCCCCCACTCTCTAAAATACATAAATCTTAAAAAACAAAAACAAAAAGTAACCTCAATTGGAAGACCTGACATTTGGCATCATTGGACAGGGAATATAGTCTCCAGATTGCCACAGTATCCACCACTGCTTATGGTCTCAACTTGGTCTGCTTTGTTCACTTGTTTCCATGCTTGGCCCAGAATAGACAAAAGAGTTTGCAATTCGATGGTTGGGATATAGCTTGTCCACAAGGTTCTTCTCAAATTGTAGTTGCTTGATTTCATCCTTCCCAAAGATCTCATGTTCCAGCCACACTGAGTTCCTCCTGGTAGTTCCCTAAACAGCAAGACTGGTCATCCCATTGCCTTTACTCACATTGATCTCTCTGCTTGAAATATCTTTTTTTTTTTTTTTAAAGATTTTATTTATTTATTCGACAGAGAGAGACAGCGAGAGAGGGAACACAAGCAGGGGGAGTGGGAGAGGGAGAAGCAGGCTTCCTGCGGAGCTGGGAGCCCGATGCGGGGCTCGATCCCAGGACCCTGGGATCATGACCTGAGCCGAAGGCAGACGCTTAACGACTGAGCCACTCAGGCGCCCCTCGAAATATCTTCTATCTTCCTTTTCTGCCTAGAAGAGTCTCACTTATCCTCAGTACTTAGTTCAATTCCTCTATGAACTTTCCTAAATCCTGCCAGAGGTATTTGCTCCTTCCCAAGTGTTCCCATAGCACTTTGTGCCTCTATTAGCATTGCAATGGCTTTTCTTTCTGTGTGCCCAGTTGGAAAATATGTTTCTTGAAAAGAAGAACTCTTAATCATCTCCATATACGCAGTTCTTAACAGAGTATCTGGCATCAATAAGTGAGTATTTATTGAATGAACAAAAAGATGGGTAAGTGAATGAATGAATACTTCCAAGGGAGTTTTTTAATTGTGTTGTAAAATTCTGAAAATTTGATCATGATCATGACATCTTCAGATAACACTTTTTTTCCCCCAGATAACAAGTCTCAAAGGTTCCTGTTCATGTTACCCTTTCTCGGAAAACAAGTCTTGAAAAAATAAAATACATATAATATTAGGAAATACAAAAAAGTGGCTTAAAACTGATAGGCCACCGCAATTTGGGGAGAAGGGGTGGGACTGTGGCGCTGCATTCAAAGAGAGAATAGATGGTGAAAAAAGTCACAGTATGCGTGTCTCCCTATAATTTGGTGGCCTCTCCAGCAGTGTTTACCCTGAAGAATGAAACATTTAGGCCACAAAGGAGCAGGGTGGGATCATTTAGCTAGAGGATATCAGTGCACAAGGGTTACTAAGAGTATATTAGTCCTTAAAAGCTGTGCACCGTAGCTCTCTACTTTGGGGCACAAGGTAGGCTGCATTATCTGGCTTCATTGTGATGATTCTATGGAGCCGTGAAACTAGTATTGGCCAATTAGTTGTGAGTGCAAAAGACGTGTGTCACTTCTGGTCATAGAATTTTTTTTTTTTTTTTTTTTGTAAAGATTTGACAGAGAGAGACACAGCGAGAAAGGGAACACAAGCAGGGGGAGTGGGAGAGGGAGAAGCAGGCTCCCCACTGAGCAGGGAGCCCGATGCGGGGCTCGATCCCAGGACTCTGAGATCATGACCTGAGCCGAAGGCAGACGCTTTACGACTGAGCCACCCAGGCGCCCCTGGTCATAGAATTTAAATGCCAACCTGACACCCTCTGAATGATCTTTATTTTTCCCATAACAACATGAAACGTTCAAGATGGCAACTGTTCTATCAGCCTGGGACCCTGAATGAGGAGACATGGAACAGAGCAGCTGACTTGCAATGGACTCAGCACGACCAAGAAAACAATTTTTGTCATTGTAGATCACTAAACATTGGAATTGTTCGTTATTCTGGCATAAGATAGCCTCTCCTGACTAATACAACAGATTTGCTCTGTTTGGCAGAACTAAGACTAGTGGTTGGAAGTTTTAGGGTTTATAGGATTTAGGAGTTTTAGGGTTGAAAGTTTTAGGAAAGCCTGCATCAATTTTGTTCAATTAAAAAAAATGTAATAAAGTATACAAAGATGGAATGAACTACTTAGGATATTCCTCATTTATACACACAATATACATTGAACTTTACCCTGTGGTAACTATTCTGTAGATAAAATCTCTGCCTTTATGTAGGTAAGTGGTAAGTTCTCCTTCACTCAAGGTGTTTGCCTTGATAGCCCCTAAAGGTTTGACTTGACAAATTAACTTCAAAAATACATTCCAACCAGGAACTTCAGGATGTCTATTTCCTCTGATCTAAAAAAGAAAAAATCTATTTTCTCAAATATTCTTTTGATTTCATCCATTTACGGATCCATTGAGTTGTCTTTTCACATTTTGATGTCATCTTGCCACCAAATTCCTTGAAGGCCAGTACTGTTTATCCTTCCTTTGCATCTTTCTCACACTATTTAGTAGGCAGTATTTGTTGTCTATTGTCCTAAGAAAATAATCAGCTTTTGACACTAGTTATTATTATTGACCATTTGATATGTTTCATATTTACTTGTCTTTCAACCATTTAAATTAGATTTGGACTTGTTAAAAAAAAATCTAGAAGCAGAAATATATTACCCTAATAACTTCCAAACAAAATACCTTTTTCTTTTGGAAAAAAAAAAGGCTTATCCTAGTACTATTGAATTTGTGGCCAATTACAATATTTCATTAACATCTTAATTCAGTAAGTATTTAATGTATTCCTACTATGTGCCAGGGGGCAAGGTTTACAAAAGAGTTTATCAAGTTATGTTACTTAATGCACTGTACGCATCATTACATAATCCTGTATTATAATAGAGCCTGTGAGCTCTCTGTTCAAGACTATTTAGGGGGAAAAAAGCAAATTCACAAGGTCAGGGCAAAATGTTCCTTTGGTTTAATTCAGGGGAGCGTATCACACTTTAGATTCGGGGAACTTAGCTGATAACTTTGGGAAATAAATGAGTATGTAAGAGTGTGTAAAGGAAAAAAAAATGAATCTTTTTTTTTTTTTTTGTATTTCAATTTCTGTTAAGCTTCACTTCAGCCTTTCAGAATTGGAGAATCAGCTGCCTGGTATAAGAAATTGCTAATAAGGAGTAATTAAAGACTGAGAATTTATTCTTTCCATTCCAAAAATGATGTCATTCCCAGATGGAGATATTGGTACTAGTTAGGCAATTCAGCATTTTGGTAAATTAAGGCAGGAGATTTGGTGTCTCTTGGGTCCTATGTATGCAGAAAGTGGTCCAGGAGGGAAATCTTGTGTTTTGTTTTTGCCCATGGCATTTATATCTTTTTCCTTTGCTTTACAGAACCAGGAGTTGAGGTGGGCACTTGCATCTTAGAAACAAGGTTAATTCTCTAAAATAACACTAATTCATAAACTTTTTATATTCTTATGTCTTTGGAATTGTTGCCTTCGCATAAAATGACAATCAACTGAAAAAGATGGACATTCCAGTGAATCCAATATCACTAATAGGAAAGAACTGGCATATCAGAAAGCAGCATGAATACATGCGCTATCCTCCTTTATTTAGAAAAACCACACAAAAATACAGCACAGTTGATGTGCTGTTACCAGGACTTGAAAGTAGAATCAACCACTGTGTAAAAGATAAAATAAGACTGCACGAATATGAGGATTTTCCCGGCGTGCTTTATTCATAGACATCTGACAGAAGAGGACCTAACAGAGCTTTTAGGAAAAACTGAATTCTCAGCCCACAGCCACTTTCCAGGAACTTCACTGCAAACAGTGCTCCGCGCTGGCGGGATGGAGATCTTAGCAATCTCCCTCCTGCTTCCATAGTTTCCTTCTCTCTAAATACAATTATGTATGGGGACTTAATGAGAGAGCAAGCCTTGTGTGAAAGGAACTCAAGAAAGTGCAGCTTCTAAAAATACACCGAGGCGGCTCTACAGTCCTTATTGTTACAAACTGACGTTTTGCAGTTCAAGCTATGAACCTAACAACTACACACACACACACACACACACACACACGAAGAAAAAAGAAGACTGTTTTTCCTTTCTGCAATCCCCTTAACTTTGAGTAAACAGTAGTAATTTTCTGTTGTCATACTCAATGCAAATTTCCCCAAGACGACACGACACAAAACAAAAGACCTGTTAGCTTCCTAGCAGCGGGGTGGGGGTGGGGGTGGAGGATGGCAGGAGGAGAGGGGCAAAGTTGATGGAGTTCTCATTTCTCCTTAGCCTGGGGTCCTGAACCTCCAAGTCACTCTGCTCTTGCAGAGGTTTTTGGAGTTTCATTCACCTTCTGGGAAGCTTCCCTTGCCCCTCTCCTCCACCACCCCCTGTCATTAAATTCTCATCACTTGCCCCCTTTGCTTCCAGCTTTTTGGAGAAATTGGACCTCAGTTCAGGGTCTTTTCCCAGTGGATTTTAAAGAAAAGTACAGCTGCCGACGGGAGGATACATATTAAACAAATGGGCAGGGGCGCGGGGTGGGGGTGTTTAAGAGGGTCTCCCTCCTTCTCCTTCCACCACGTGCTCCTCAGTTGGGGTGCAGCACTCGTGGATGGGTGCTGAGAGGGGCGAGGGTAGGATGGAGGGAGATGGACAGAGCTGGCTGTAAGGGAAGGAGGCCCCCTAGGAGAGATCGTCTCGACCGAACATTGACTAGAGAAAAAAACTGGCCCACATGCCCCTAGTGGGGAGCGATATACCCCACGCGGGCTGGGTTTCGGGGGGTGCGTAGGGCCCTCTCACCTGACTTCCTCCTCCGCTGGCACACACACTACAATCACCGGCTTCTCAACCCCCCTCAAAAAACCCCCAGCCAAACAACGAACAACAAGAGGAAGCCGCAGGCGGCAAGGGAGGGGTGCGCGTGGTGGGGGCCCGGGAGAGGTGAGGGGGTAGGGTTGGCGGGCGTCGAGAACCGCGCCGCGCACCCCGTGGCGTACTCCCAGGCGCCCACACTTACCCCTAGCGGCTGAGGGTCCGGTCTTCGGCGCCAATCCCAGCGCGCGCCTCTCGCCCGCCCTCGTCCCTCCGGCCCGCCGCCCCCCACACCCCGGCCGGCGCGCTGGGAGGGAGCCTGGGAGCGGCGCGCGGCGGCGGCGGCGGCGGCGGCGGCGGCTCGGGCTCGGCTCGGCTCGGGCTCCAGCGCGTTTAGTGTAGCCGGCGGCCGCCGAGGCTCCACCGCCAGGGGGAGAAGCCGGGGCGGGCGCTGGGGAGGCGGGCCGGGCCCTCGCCGCCCCGCCGGCCAGCCCGCGTCGCACAAGCTCGGGAGCGGCGGCGACGCGGGGTCCGCCGAGCCCCCGGGCGCAGCGTGCCGGGCCGAAGGAGCCGCGGCTGGATGCGCGCCCCGGGGAGCTGCGGGCTCCCGCGGAGGGCGCCACGGCCGCTCCGGTGCGCCTCCAGACTGCGGGCGCGGCGACCGCCGATCCGAGAGCAGCTCCCGCCGGCCCCTTCCCCCTCCCGCCCCCGCCGCCGCCCCCTCCCCCTCCCCCCGTTAACATCCCCTCCCTCCCCCCCTTCCTTCGCTCGGCCCCGCGCGCTCGCTAGCTCGCTCCTCGCCTCGCTCTCCCCTTTAAACGCCCACTTCGGATGGGGAAAGAAGACAACTTGAAGTCAAGTTGCAATTAACTTCCGCGGCAGCCGCAGCTCCGGCGGCGGCGGCGGCGGCACAAGAGGCAGAAGCCGCCGCCTCGGAAGTCCGACGCCGGCGCGCCAGCCCGGGGAGCTGTTCCTGGTCGCGGGCCCGCACTCGACAGCCACCGCCGCCCCCAACGCCAATGCCTGAGTGAGTTCTGCTCCTTTGCCTCTCCCCCCCCCCCCCATTCTTGCTCTTTCATATCTCTCTCTCTCTTTTTTCGGAATCGATCCAAACTTCTCTGTAGCACCCACCCACGGCGCCCCTTGTTGGGGCGGCGCGGCTCCCCTCTCGTGGCCGTCCGGCGGCAAGGGTCCTCCGAACCCCTTCTTTCGTGCTCAGCCGAACCCGGGAGGGGTGGGCCGGTCGAGCGTGGGAGAGCACACGGGATGGGGGACTTGGAGATGCCATTCATTCAATCTCAGGGTGTGGGCACCCTAACACACCTGCCTGACAGACCCTGGCTGAACAAACTCCTTCAGGTCATCAGTATGACCCCTCTTGGAAGAGAAAAGGGGAACCGAAAAGACCGAAGGAAGCAAACGGGAAAAGGGAAAGAAAGCCTCTCTGTGCGCCCCGGAGCTGGGCTGGCAGAAAGGTGCCCGGCGGAGTAGGCTGGGGGAGTGGAAACGTTCCCCGCCGGATCGCAAGTAAGCTCAGCATCCTTCCCCGGTCCATCTCCTCCTTCCTCCGCCCCCCGCCCGCGCCGCTGGTTGGGAGCGGCGGCGGAGAGGGGCCTAGGAAGTTAGTGGCAACTTCTCCATCCCGGGAACACTCCGGCGCCCAGGCGCTCAAGTTGGAGCCGGGATTTGAAAGCCGCGGCACTCCGCATCTCGAGCCCTCGCTGGCGGTAGTGAGGTCGGCCCTGAAGGGGCTCCTGGAGTGAATGTGGGTTTGGAGTAGGGCTGGAGGCAGGAAGAGGTGCTGCTCTCCTAGCAGGACCGAGACATCACAGGTGCGGCCTCGGGGTCCGCACCGTGTCTCCCTCCTGCGGTCCCGACCCTAGCGTGGCGGCCTTCTCGGAGCGCTTCTCTGCGGAGGCTCCCGGGGCGGCGGAGCGTGGGTTTGGGCAACCACGATAAGAGAGGCACAAAGCAGGCAGGTGGCAGGTACGGGGAGTGACACGCGTGTACCGGGCAAGTGCACTGAGCAGGACTCTTGGGATGACCCCAGAAGACGGAGAGGGGCTTAGGACCCTTTCTGGAGGTCTTGGCCCGGACCTCCAATGGGGCGTTGCAAATCTTACTAGTGTCAACCACAGGATCGCCTCTCAGAGTGCCCTGGTTGGCAACTTTGACCTCTGCGCCGGTCCTCGGCGAACTTTCCTTCGCGGCATTCCAGATTTCCAGGCAAATGTTGTAAGACTTGGACTCTACACGGTTGTATAAGAGACGGGGGAAACAGAAAGACGTCCTGTTCTCAGGAGAAAACCATTCTACCCGGACTGGCTGGGGTTCCCTGCTTGCATCCTTGGAGGCCAGGGGACCTGACTTTTCCAAGAAGACAGAGGAGGGGTAAGAAATGAGTGAAAGGCGACTGGTCAGTGTCAGGTTTTGTCCTAAGCAGTCCCTAAAATCTACAGTGTTTGTGCTACTGAGGAAGTAACTCGTGCAGTTGAAACTTTATTGAAATTTACACCCTATCTGAAGTGGATTTTTCTGAGGTGTCAGGACTGTAAGATTTATTCTATAGTAAAACGTAGCTACAAAAACAAACAACAACAACAACAACAAAAACTGTACTTTAAGCCTGGAAAAAGCCAAGGTTGAGGTGTTCGCTCTAAAAACCTTTAATCTGCTGTGGGTACTAATGCTATGATTTAGCAGCAGTCCTTTATTTCTATTGCATATTATTTTAGTAGAACAGTAGTACATTCATATACTGGCTGCTCCAGTCTGCTGGCAAACATTAGCATTCAAGCTTACATTTTTGACAAATGTGCAGACAGGAATAGCATGAATAGGCATCTTAAATATTAACAACCTAAGCATCTGTTGTGAAACAAATTTAATATATTTACTCTGTTTTTCTCACATTGTTAGAAAAGGTTATAATAAGTGCATAATTTCAACTTTAGTTAGCAGAAGTAACTGGCTGTATCTTTCACTACCTCTCCAAGTGTTTAACACAGTCACCAGACATAAATACTTTAATTAACTTGGTTAGGCGCATTATTAAATACACTTTAGACCATGTGTATACTATGTAAAATGTAACAGTGGCAAAATATGTATCCTATTTGTGCACATTTTAAGTGACTCTGCATTTTATAAATACACCAGGCATGTTTATTCTTCATCTTCATTTGACACTTACTACTTCACAGTTTTTCTAATGGAAACAGTATTTTAAATGTAGAGTTGTTCAGTCATATCTAATACATAACATGTAAACAGTAGCTATAAAATACAAAGCATTGTTAAATTTAAGTATGGCTACGTGTAGCAAGATTATACAAGAGAAACAAAAATCACTGCTCAATTTTGTATTCCTTTCTAAATAATGAATACAAAAGATGGATGAAAAAAGAATAGGTAGGGATTTCCCTCCTAAAGTAACTGGTGCCTTAAAATGTGTGTGGGGTGGGGGTGGGGAGAGCAAGGGGGAGAAGGGGGAAAAAAAGAGATAGAGAAAGAAGACATAAAGAACTTCCAAAAGTCTGAATAGTTATTTCCAGAATCAATGCATTCCTCATTTTCCCACAAGCTGAAATATGTAATAAATAATAGTTCTTTGTATGTAAAAGTATTCACAAGGAATGCCTTTTGTTTAGTTGTTGTAATAAATTAATATATTCTTTGGTTGATAATCTACAAAAGTAGTTCTTTTGTCTCCCAGCATCTTAAACAAGAACAACAACAAAATGAGTATTGGTTTATTTCTGCAGACAAGTCTGTTGCCAGCTATATGAACTTGTGACTGAATAACCTATGGTATGCTGAGTGATGGTTAAGAAAGACTACATTAAATTAGCAAAGACTGAAATATCTGAAGGAGGTTTTCAATTATTTTTTCATGTGACAGGTTGTGGATTGTAAATTAGGCCTAAAAGGTCAGGTGACAGGCACCTGTTCCTCATTATTGTAAAAATCTTTTGGTTACAAACACTATTAAAAGCTAAACACAACATGGATATACAGCAGGGACTCTATAAAGCACTCTAGTGGTTTTTCATCTCCTCTGTAAATTTCCAAGAGGGCCATACATTGATATGTCCTTTACACAAACAAATCATTTCTTCCAAAACGTGTTGTCTTGGATGATTCTTATATTAGTACTTGGGATTGATGAAGTATATAAAATAAATGCATATGACTGACTCAATCTTCAGACCATGTCTAGACATGTTGTTATCGAATGCAAAAATATTATTTTTTAAGCCCCTTTTTCCTTTGCAGTCCACTGTTAAATTATCAGAATTTGTCCACATTTTAAATAGAAACCTCCCCAAATTGCCTTCTGTCTTTTTTAGATGAGTTCCCATTTTAAATAATGCCATGAAAGATTTTGCTAAATACTTGTGTATAAGGAAAAAATTAGTTGCACTATATACCGTCAGAGCTTTGTGGTATATAGAAAATGGGAAGAAACCCACATTTTACATGAATGCTGTTAGGAAGGGTATCATCATTTGATCTTCAAACTTGCTACTTCTCTCAGGAGAGTTCAGTAATATTTCTATTAGAATTAGAGAGTGTGATTTGATTTTTATGAATGGTTTACTTTTAGATATTTCAGACAGCAGAATAAGCATACATATTGAACGGACCTAAGTAGCACAAGGTTGTGAAAATATTAAAGGTGCCAGTTGCTTTTAATTGGCAAAGGAGGAAGATTTTTGAGTAAATTTGGTAACTCAGATTATTAAATTCTATATTTAAATATGTACTTTGTTTTAGTTTTGTATAGTTTATGCTTATTATATTTAGTATTCATTTTTAGCATTTGTGATCAGATTAGAGAATAGTCATTACTCTTGCTTTTCAAATTGATTTGGTTTTCAAACTCCAAAACTCTGGGATGATTTTAACAAATTGGTTTACATTTTGACAGAACAGAGTTAAGTTAATTAATAGATCAGGCACGAAAAATCATCCACGGTAGGGTGTATTTTCTGGTAAAATGAAAGTTATGTTTCAGCATGATGAGCATCAGGCTTCAGTAATCTGTTCCTCGTGTGGAATGAACACTTCCTACTTCGAGCTAGCAGGCACCTACTGTTTATTTACGCTGCATTAAACTGACAGCTCAGCAATCAGAGGAAAAATATTACTTACCTTCCTGAAGTAAATACCAGTTTATAGGTTAGTGCACGTATTTATATTCCTGTCACCACTAAATAACGGCTCTGTCTCCACTTTAATATCTACCTGTACTATAACCCAGGGCTTCACACTCTTCCTGGTTGGGGGTAGGGGTCGAGAGGAGTTTTTCTTACCATTTACCAATGGCAAAACTTTAAAGAAGAGTAATATCATCTTATTTCTGTCGTGTGAGAACCAGTCGAAAGAAATGCTATGCACTTTTTCTATACATTCCTCCACTGTAACACCAAAACCCCCAAAGAGGCTGCATGCCACTTAAAATAGTCATCTTAGAGCCTCACCTCAGGACAAATAGGTTCAAACACATCGAAGTGTGTGTTTGCTAAATTAACTTTCTGCAAAGTTCCAAATAGATTACTTAAATTATCTTATTACTTAGGGAATAACTTTGATAAAGGGTGGTACCTTCAAGTCTTAGATGGAATGTTTCAGTTGTTAATGG